CCCAGAGCGGGGAGAGGGGCAGGAGCCCCTCCCTGCCCTTTGCCCAGCTGCTTGGGGGGCAGCCCAGGCTCCCAGGGGCTCCTGGCCAGCTCCTCCCCCCCAGCACCCTCAGGGCCTTTTCCCCAGGGCTGCTCTCCAGCCCTTCACCCCTAGGCTGTAGGTGCCTGGAAGGGTGAGAGGACTGGACTGGGCCCATCTGTCCTTCTCCAGAAGAGATCCCCCATCTCTCAGCAGGATGATGCAGGACCCAGCCCCCTGCAGTGAGCAGGACAAGCTGGGGCAGAGACAACTGGGACTGCTCCCCTAGTCTGAGCTTGTCCCAAGGAGGCAAACTGCTCAGCAGAAGCACCACCCTCATGCCCAAGTACCTTTGGTGTGCTTCAGATGTGACTCAAACCTCAGCTCACGACCTATCCACTGCTCAGGCCATGGCCAGGGCCACCCTGCCAGGCTGCAGATGGGTCCAGGAGAACTTTGGGCATGCTCTTGGCTAGTGCCTTTGCCTGACAAGTGCTGTGCTCCAAGGCTGAGGTTATCAGCTCAGTTTTGTCTGTGCCAGAGCATCCTTGGGCACCATGGGGGCTAGACTACACGACCTTTAAAGGTCCCTTCCAACCCAAACCATTCTGTCACTCTGTGATTTCCCAGCGCCCTGTGCAGCACAAGACTGGGCTTCCAGAAGTGCTACGACATGCTCACTCACCCAGACAAGGGGTGGTGGCCAGAGATGAGATGCCAGAGCCTCCCCTCTCCCCGAGCACTGTATGGCTGTGCAGCAGCCAGGGACTTCTGAAAAACATAGGGCCTTTGCTGATCTCCCACCCCACCTACACTCACGTGACTCTCAGGCATGGTAAAAGCTCCCCCTCTGACGTTCTCCCGGGAAGGGCTGATGAGGTCGAGTCCAGCGTGCCTCTGTCTTCTTATTCAAACCTGAAGACACAGCCCAGGGCCTGGTTTGAGTCCCACGAGCCAGAGCTCTGTGACATGCCTGTACCAGCAGAGGAACCCCCCAGGGACCTGGCAGAAGCGTCTCACAGCAGCTCTGAGGCTAACCGCCACCTCTCCTGGGGTGGGAACGCTGGGGCAAGCTCTGGCTCAGGCCTTTTGTGGGACAAGGACACTCAGGCTTGCCACACTGCTGCTCAAACCTGACTTGAACAGCTGGCTGGTGGCTAGAGCCCACTAGGCAAGCTCGCTGTGGAGCTTTTGAGCCCAGCCAGGCAGGCCAGCCCGAGGCCCAGCGGGAGCCACTCACCTCCCAGGCATGGTGGGAAGCCCAGGCCGAACACGGCACCAATGTCTCCCTCCACGGGGTTGCTGAGGATCCCCTCCTGCAGGCACATGGCTGCCTCGTTCACAAACCTCGTCACCAGGCGCATCTGGATGTCCTCGTCCGTGCAGCTGCAGGGAGAGAGGAGGGATTCCCACAAGACTGTCCCTGCGAGGGCAAGGACTGAGTCCTGGGACGTGCCCTGAAGGGGGCACGTGGGAATGGCAACGGCCCCACCAGCCCAGATGGGAACTGCCCCAGGAGATGTCTCAGTGCCAGGCTCCACAACAGGTTTGACCTCAGGAAGGTCACAGGAGGGGTGGCACCAACCTGCCTGCCCTGGCAAGGCCCACCACAGGGCAGCATTCTGCCAGGGTGCCCAAGCAAATGCTGGTAACGTGAGGATGCCCAGTTCCCACCCGACCAGGCTCCAACCACCACCTGGAGTGACTCCGTGTTCAGCAGTGGCATTGAATCCCAGAATCATTTGGGCTGGGAGAGACCTTTCAGATCCTGCAGTTCAACCACTCCCAGTCCTGCCAGGTCCCCACTGCCCCGTGTCCCTCACCCCACATCTCCACGGCTTGGAAACCCCTCCAGGGGTGGGGACTCCACCACTGCCCTGGGCAGCCTGGCACAGCCCTGGGCAACCCTCCAGGGCAAGAAATTGTTCCTCAGGGACAACTGAAGCCTCCCCTGGGGCAACTTGAGGCCCTTTCCTCTTGTCCTGTTGTCCCTTGGGAGCAGAGCCCGACCCCCCCCTGGCTCCAGGCTCCTGGCAGGAGCTGTGCAGAGCCAGAAGGTCTCCCCTGAGCCTCCTTTGCTCCAGGCTCTGCTCCCCCAGCTCCCTCAGCTGCTCCTCCCCACCCTTGGGCTCTAGACCCTTCCCCAGCAGCTCCATTGCCCTTCTCTGGCCACGCTCCAGCCCCTCAAGGTCCCTCTGGGAGTGAGGAGCCAAGAGACACTGAGTAGCGAGTGGAGAGACATCGAGTCCTCCCTCCCTGGTGCAGCTGCTCAGGCAGGAGCTGGGCAGGGCTGTGCCAGCCCCTCCAGGCTCGGGCACACGCAGCTACTTACACTTCAGGGTTGGCTGTCACCTTGAACCGTTCCAAGATCTCATCCATGCCAGAATTCAGGCTCCTGTTCTTCACCCCCTCCTGGTAAATGTAAAATCCTTTCCCCGCCTTGCGACCTGCCAGGGATAAAAGGAGAGTCACGTCCTGCCACGTGTCCTGTGTGCTCCTGCCACCTCTGATCTCCTTGTGACTCCTGCCTCCGTTAGCATGAGCAGATCCTCCCAGCACAGGCAGTGCCCCTGCACTTCAGAGAGAGCCCGTTTGCTGCCCAAGGGAGGACAGAGGGAAGGGGCCCGGGTCCAGCTGCCTCCTTGGCACAATGCTGTCACTGTGCCAGGTGCTCAGTGCCACCACGAGGTGCAGAGGACAGGCAGTAGTGCCACCACCTCTGTGACTGCAGCAGCAAACACACAGTCCTCAGGAGCAAGGGACAGAGAGGACAGATCTGAGTAATGCTCCTGGCCTGGGGGTCTGGTCACAGCGAGGGTCACTGGAGGGTGAGGGCAGGTCCTGCTGATGGACCTTGCTCTGTCCTGGCTCGCTCAGAGACGCCTCTGGCCCCAGTGCCACCAGGGCACAGCTGCTGCCACACGGGCAGAGGCCTCGTTTTTCCCTGCACAGAGCTTCTAAAGCTGAGTTCAGGGCTTGTTTCACTTCAGCACATTTATTCCCAGTCACTTGCTGCCCGTGTCCTGGAGCACTTGTGCAGATTTAATGAAGGGGCCAGGCAGAGGTTCATGAGATCTTTGCCTGCTGCTGCTTCTGCAGAGGAAGCCACCGAAGGGCAGAGCTGGGAGGGGTTCCCCACCCCTCCCCAGGCCTGTGCTCCGACCGCACCGAGGCAGAAGACGCCGCCGGCGCTTTTCCCTGAAGGAAGGGGCAACGTGCTGGATGGGAACAGCCCCACGTCTCACCTAGGAAGCCCTTCTGCACCATCAGCTTGAACAGGTCGATGCTGCCCCCCCCGAAGCGCTCGCCAAAGGCCTTGCCCAGGTCCTCAGCCACGTGGGTGGCCACGTCCACCCCCACCTCGTCGATGAGCGTGGCGGCGCCCACCGGGAAGCCGAAGGCCGTGGAGATGGCGTCGATTTTCTTTGGGTCAATGCCCTCCTGCAGGAAGGGAAGGGGAAGTGATGATGTCCCTGGGTGAGGAACCCACGGGGGTGGAGGGCAGAAAGCCCTGGCTGGCTCAGCTGGTGCCACGGATGGTGCCCAGCCCCAGCAGCTGCTTGGTCACAGAGGGGAGCAGCGGAATCGCGCCCACGCTGCTCCCAACTCCCCCACGGAGCTGTGTGGGGAGGGAACAGCCTCAGTGCTGCCTGTGCCAGGTCTCACCAGCCCACAGCTCAGCCCACAGCAGGCTGAGGACAACCAGGAGCACCGGGGCGGGCCCCCCACCTCCCTTCTTGCCCGAGGGGGGCAGGGATGAGGGCGACACTCACCTGGAGAACTCGGACCACTTCTGCCAGCATGGGCCCCAGGCAGCGCGTGGTGTAGAAGCCAGGCCCGTCCTAGGGGAGGGGGGTACAGCAGGAAGGCAGGTGAGCACCAACTGCAGGGCCACGGCCTCTCTCAGCAGCACACAGAGTGTTTCACAGCCCAGGCTGCAGCTCAGGCACTGACACTAAACTCTGTTTCTAACAGCATACTATCAGCTGTTAAAATAGTTTTTTTTCCTATAGGGCTCAGCAGCGTTTGGAAACTCCCATGAATCTACTCCCTGGAAGTTCCCATCAGAATGTTTTTATTTAAAACAGAGCCTGGAAAGTAAAACAGGCTGCTCAAGTCCCCTTGGCTTCACCAAGCCCAGCAGGCTGAAGGGAAGGGTGCCCAGTGAAACCGGTTGATTCACCTCTGATACTGCTCACCAAGTCAGGAAGCATCAGATTAGCTGCAAGCTGGCACTCGGGGAAGCCTCTGATGTGGGGATCAGGGTTAGAGCAGCAGTGCTGTGTCCCCACTGCCCTTCAGAGGTGCCTGGAGCACTTTCAGAGACGCCAGTTCTCCCAGCACTGTGGGGACCTGCTCAGCACTGCTGGCAACCTCAAGCCTCAGGGAAAAGGCCAACCCAAAACCACCACTCATGATTGCCCCGAGCCTCCTGGCTGAGCCTCCCACAGAGATCCTGATGCTTCCCACCACGGAGCACGAGGCCACCTCTGTTTGGAGAGCTGTGTCTTCAGCAGCAGCTGTCAGCCCAACAAACCCCTGCAAGGCCACGGCTCCTCTGAGGCCCTGCTGCCTCCTCCCTCTGCTTGGCACAGCTCCTCCCCGACACCTGCCTGGGTATTTCTGCCCCCTCCTGCCCAAGATTTCAATCCAGGAAGAGGAGTCACTGCTCATCCACCCTCTGTTCCTGCAGCTTGCCAGGGAGATGAGGGGGAGAGCCCTGCCCAGGCTCTGCTCCATCTCAGACCCCACTACAGGCTTCAGGAGCTGGGAGCTGTGTGGAGCAGGACTGCTCCTTCTGCTGGCCCAGGAGGTTGGTCCTGCACCTTCTGCCTCCTTCAAAGGCCACTTGAGGGATCTCTTGGGCATCTCCTTCAAAGGCCACTTGAGGGATCTCTTGGGCATCTCCTTCAAAGGAGACTTGAGGAATTTCTTGGGCACCTCCTTCAAAGGAGACTTGAGGAATTTCTTGGGCACCTCCTTCAAAGGCCTCTTGAGGGATCTCTTGGGCACCTGCCTCCTTCTACCCTCCATTCCTACTTCTGATTGTGAGAAGCAATGGGGGTGACTGGCAGCCCCAGCCCAGCCTCCTCTCCCCACGTGAGCCTGCCCCTCTGCCTCCTACCCCAGCTCACACTCCCCACAGTGCTTCCTCACCTTCACCACGATGACAACCTTGCCCTGCTTGAGGCCAACAGCGACAGCAGAAGCTGCTGTGTCCTGGGATGTTTTGTCTGTGGTGATGATTTCCAGGAGCTGCATTTTGTCCACAGGGGAGAAGTAGTGCATCCCAATCACCTGGGGACAGGGGAGAGCTCGGGGTTAATCGTGGAACAGGATCAGGGAATGGTTTGGGAGAGGAGGGACTTCCAAGGTCACCCAGTCCAATCCCTGCAGGGACAGGGACATCTGCAGCTAGAGCAGGGTGCTCAGAGCTCATCCAACCTCCCCTGGGATGGT